CTTTGGTATAATCTGAATACTGTTACTGCAGATAGTAATGTACACATTTGAAAATAACTGATTATAAAGTTACTACTACCTTTCACAGAAATAATGGAGTTGTTTAGCAACAGAAAATGTTGGATTCATTTGTTTTCGATGCTCGGTTGTTAAGTATTTTCGTTAAAGAACTCGAAACAACGTGAGTCGATTCTACATAAAAGTATTTCTGAAATACTGTCAGCGATAAATCTCTCAGACTGATATGAACAGGTCAACTTTCGCTTACTAAAAATTTCGAGCATCGCTTCGCTAGAATTTAGACTGAAATTTAATATCTCATTTGCTCACATCTCGGCAACGGAGTCTGCTAAACGGTTGAAAGAATAAGTCGCTTCAACAACATTTTGTTCTTTGACTGTCTAATTCACAATACCCGATTACAGTATCCACGATCCAGTTTTCTTATTTTGGAATATAGACTGGGGAAATAAATTTACCTGGACTTGAACAGATGAATGAATGGGCGACTGGCCCTCGTGTGTGGATAATTGAAACTCTTAAGGAACTCATCCGTGTAAAAAATAAAAAATAAGTTCAAAAGCAGCTGTTCACTGTTAGGTTATGAAGGTGTTTGCGTGACTGATAATGGGTTCTAGTTTTGATGATTCGATTTATTGGCACTTATTTACAATTACAGTTCATTATAAGAGATCACACATTAAAATCCTTCTGAAATACGTCCGTCTGACGAATCTCTCTGAAGACTCTCGCCACTCCTCGAATTCATGAAATATAACTCTCTGAAACCTAGTATAGAGATCACTGCCTCCAACGGTTCCAATCTGTTTCACGAATGCATTGTCTCGGAGATGCCTTTTTGTTTAGCAACTTTTTGCCTTGTAACGATTCATTTGTTTGCTTTTGTTTTACCGGGAACGTAATTTCTGGGCCGTTGCTCAACAACGAACTTCTGGCTCCCCTATTCCGGTTTTCAGTCATCAAGTCACAATATTTAGATTGGCGAGAAGTCAGATTTATATAGATCTATTCAGCGAATAAGTAATCGGTGCGACGCGATCGATGTTTACTCTTATACACTGAAGGAAAATTACATATACAGATTGTCCCAGAATTAAAAACAGAAAATTTGGGGCTGAGTATCATGACCCAAAACAATAAAAAGAATTTATATAAATATGGGTTCAGGAATGCTTTGGTAAAGAAATATAACCATTAGGAGTTCCGGCAGCAGCAGGATTACAATGGCTGTTACCAAAATAACGCATGTTAGGGACATTTTTAAATGAACGTGGAGTTTGGAGTGGATAATTGGAAATAATGTTTCCCTTTCATTACTACCGCCTTCTCTATTCAGTAAAGTAACACACAATCGTCGTGGCGTTCGCTGCAACAGTAGGATGGTAGAACTTCAGTCAAAAAATATCTCTAATATCACAGGAGATTATATTTTGTGTTAAACATTTGTCAGAAAAACCTGATGATTGGCAGGATTGTTCTGTTCAAGAAATAAAACAACAGTTTAATACATATGTAGTGTCACATTCCAGTGACAAGGGATAACAATAATTGTTATGGTTATAGTAAACGCCCAAGATGTTGGTCTTGCACTGCCACACGAAGATACATGGCTTCACGGACTGTCTTAAGTTCTTTAGGCATTTAGAGGTATTCGATACGTGCACCACGTATGCGGACTCATAAAACAGACGTTCCCTTTCCATCGTAAACTCACTTACAGACAGCCCCCCCGGGACTTTTCCCTTTGCACAAACCACCAATTTCACAGAACTTAGAACCATGCATAAACGGGTGGATTCACCCCGAACTCCGTTCGTCTAATTTGTGACGCGTTTGCCGTTTCATGTGCTATCATCCTATCTACCATGTGAGCTTTTCCTCTTCCAGGATCTGAAATCTAGACCCCTGCATGTAGAGATGTAGACAGTCCAGTAGTCAGTTGCTTACCGTCGGTCGGCGAAGTGGCTCACTAAATTCTGTTAGACCCTGCGCTCCGGCCGATGAAGACAAGGCTGCCCCTTGTCTCAACCGTAATGTAACGTTTCTTTCCTTTGGGATAATCTGAATTACCATTTATTATGCTACTGTCCCAATTATTTGCTTGCAGTTTTGTGCGGTATAATCGGGTAACACTGCGATCGGTGGTTGTTTCGTAATGTTGCGCGTAATCTCTTGAGTTTTCTTGGTATAACGCATCTGAGTCATTTCGTGATGTTATTTGGGCCGGACAAGGAGGCCTGGGTTTTCCTGTCTTGCAATGAAGCATATTTGAACTACCGGAGACATTGTTCAGAGCAGTTTTGCTCCATCATTATTTTGTTTAATTTTGTTATTAATTGTTATGTCTCTAATTGTTACTGAAAATTGTTATTTTTAATTCCATTTCTATTCACTGAAGCCTCTGTGGAGATTTCTATGACTTGCAGTTGAGTAGGGTTACATTACGCTGAAGCTGAATCTCCCACGCGCCACTTAAATTTGGACACCCATTCCATTCGGGAGCATTGTAAACACAAAAGCAGAACCAGAGATGATATAGCCATCTCCCCACATTGAGTGTAGGGTTAAGGTAGGAGGAACTACTAAAACAGAACATTTTGAAATGAGTCATTTTCTATATATCAACAAATAATAAATACTACCTTTTCGAATATTGTGTAAGAAATTTCCCGGAAGTCAACTGAAATATTTTACTTTAACAACCTTCTATATTTACCCTTTGGCTTACCTCTGTTTCCCTTCTTATCTTATTGTCATTCGTACAACGTATCATTTAAATCTTGAACAAATAAAAATAACCGTAACCCTCATTATCTGTCAACAAAAGTGTACGTAAATTAACAAGTTCTATTTTACTACTGGTAGCTAATTACGTAAGGATGTGCGACTTTCTCCGGTAACAACCGGCGCTGTACTGTTACAGAACGGACATATTGTTAAAAATGCATCCACACTATAGAGAGTCGGAAATGTGTCCCTGTATTTCTTCAAATATTTGCCACATGGAAAATATTTAAGATCTGAGTTGTAGTAGAGCTTAAGAAGCTGTAACCTACAATGTTGTCAGTCGTGTGAGGGACTATAGACGGAGTTTGGGTTAGTCATTGGATTTATTGACACTTTACAGGTTGTAACTGCAAGTAACCACGGCGCTATCGCTAATTCACACACTCAACAATTCATTTCAGCACACACCAAGTCTTTTCAGTCTACTGTGTCTTCATCAGTCATTGTCTGGTAACGGCTTCCAACGGCGGATGTTCCCCTTACCCTGGGTTCCCGAACTATCCCCCTGCCTGAGCTACCAGCTAATAATAGCAACGGCTCACAAGGACTGAACCTCAGCAGTTCTCTAACTCACTCACCAAACCAACTCCTCTTCACTTCACTTCACATCACTCAACTGAACGGCGCTCTTTAACTCAGAATAAGAGTCAGAGTTACTTTACGACTGGCGGTAAACCCCCAAACTGTTCGTGTCGGCTACGAGCCCCTTGAGAATCACTACCAGTAATTTTATTTTCTAACTGAACCCTTGCAGTTGTAGTCCTTATGTTACATCCTACCTGGATGGAAGATGGGTTTATTGTTTACAATTGCTGCTGGTCCTCGCCAGCGCAGTCTCAGATTCAAGATTTCCCAAACCTGGAGGGCCAGTTCCCCGTATTTATATCCCCCAGGTACACGCTGGCGAAGTTATACCTCCAGGCACTGGGTTCCCTTTTCATCGCCTCTTACGACTCGCAGGGCTACGGTGGACGTATTCCACCCCGCCTCCGCACGGGACCCTCTAACTCTCACTGACTGCCCTGCTTATAACATCTCGGCACTGACCGTACAGAAAACGCCGTTCCTCTGTTACTCTTCAATTGTGAATGTTAGAAATCTGTTGCTTGGCGACGGGTCTGCATGCTACAATGTTGTTCTTAGCATCATGTTGCATTAATGTAAATCCTAGTACTTACAATATTACCGCCTCAATGTAACATTTGCTTCTGTCTCTAGTGCATATCGTATTTTACTACAAGTTTCAGCTCTATATGGCACAATCAGGTTATGTTTTCTTGCTGAAATTGTTTCACTGAAAGTCAAATTGCGTATCACATATTATCGCGACACTAAATTGAAAAAGTTGTCTGTTCTTAACCACTAAAATTATTGGTAAAAAACAAACGCGATCTCAATTTTAAATCACTCTCTGTTCTTAACCACTAAAATTAGTGGTTAAAAACAAACAGTGGTTGGATTGGAAGCCACGATCTCAGTGTTTGAGTGGGCGAAGACAGGTCATGTCTTAGACTGCGCGTCCACTGTGATCGGCAGGTAGAATTATAGTTCTGCATACTCTTATTCTAATTTTTATGTTTTTAGACAGCAGACCAGAAGACAAATGGTTCTAGTCTAAATATCAGCAAGCATTACCCGAAATTAGTCTCCTCTTAGTTTCCTCCTGAACCAAATTTTGATTTGTTACCGTCGTTCCCAAATACCTGATCTGTGCTACAGTTTCAAAGAACCTGTTAGCTACCTTATGTCATGATTTTTCTCTACATTCTGGAAGTTTATCCATGGACTTATGTAAAGTACGGTTTTTAATCAGTCGAAATGGCTGAAAGAAAAGAACCAAAGAAAATTGACGAGATAACTCTCAGATCAAATTTCACCCAAATTTAAGTAATATTTATGATATAGATGTTTATAATGGCTTACATATTTTAATTATTTATGAACTTATGTAAAGTAGACTTTTTTATAAACCAGTATGGCCTAAAACCAGAATTTCCGAACATCTTTCGGTGAAATTCTCCCATATCGAATTGAAACGAAAGCCAACTTGTTGAGACGTTGATACTAGGTCAGACAAGCAAAGAGACATGCCTCTAGCTAAGAAAGTCTTTCTTTAGCGCTTTAAGAACGCCTAAAACGAATCATCTGGGAATATATGGAACGTGATGTCCTGATTTTTTTGCTTTACTTAGGACCAGCATACAAATGGTTCAGTACACTGGGGTATCTGCGACTGATGAACCAGTACCATCTGGCGTCAAACAACAGCACTACCGTGCAGTTCTCAAGAATGGCGCCTGCAACCTGTATCCAAACCACTTGTTTCAACATACATGGCGCTTTGTCCAGGATTCTGTGACCACCATTGTGGATATGCAGTGGCGGTACGCGCTGTTCCTATGCACTTTCTGCTTCTTCTCCACTTGGACAGCATTTGCTTTTCTGTGGTGGTTCATAGCGTATACACACGGAGACTTCGAGCAGACTCATCAAGTAAGTTCTTCCTGTATGAAGCACAGAGAGATGATTGATTTTGCTTATACTCTGAAGTAAATAATGGTGGTCATTATAGTTACCTACTTGGTCTTAATCGGCCGTGAATTAGTGATTAACAATTCAACGTAGTAAAGAACTAGGTAAGTCAGTAAGATTGAACATTTTCTACGTGTAAGACCCGAAGTTACTCAGTTTAGGGAGCGGTTTAGAGTTTAACAAAGAAATTATCTTAACTTGCTTACTCGTGTTGATGACCAGACATTCACACATAAGTATGTGTATACATTCGTACAAGCTAAAGACCAAAATTAATGATCTGGATTTGGAAGTATCCGTCCAGGCTTGTACTCGGTAGGTGTTCTGTTCGAATTTCAGCTGGGCACCGGCCTCGACACTGGAAACACCGTTACATCATCTACAAAGAACAGGAAAGAAAGGGGAGTGGGGAACCTTTTGTACATTAATATAGAAAAAATGATTGAAACATTACTATATGTACAGTACATTGTTTGTTGAAATTACCCAAGGCGTTTAGTTTGTAGTTACATCAGTGCTGGGGGGGGGGGGACCAGCGGCAATTTAACAGTCAGTCAGGAGACAGGAAGAGAGGTCTGAAGGTTCCCAGAGCCGTCAGAGAGCAAAATATGATCATGAGTCCCGTGGGGCTCGGAACCAAGAATAATTTTGCTGGGGAGGACCAGAGGTAATTTAGCAGTCAGTCAGAAGACAAAAAAAAAAACGCAGAATCCAGGAGACACTGAATTGCATTTTTCAGAAGCTCACATTTATTAACGTATTTCACTCGCATTTTGCCCAGATAGATTTGGGCAATTGTTTAAACAATGTACAGGTGGAAGATCAGTTTTTATTCTTTCATTTACATATAACCTTTGATTAATATATGCCATAAGATTTGAGTTCTAAGCGGTTACGTAAGAAATTGCACAAGCTTCACGCTGACTATCACGGCTTCATCCATTTGTATCCAACCTTGGTTTGTAGGCTCCTGAACTAGGACTAGCTCGAAATAACTCTGCTTAATTCTGCTTAAGTCAAAGTCAAAGTCAAAGTAACAATTCGACTGACGGTCAGTCAGTCAGTCAGTCAGTCAGTAAGTCTTGGTGTCGAGCTCCGTCTGAAGCTCATGACCAGATATTTATTACTGTTTGACAGTTACGGTATTATTTTCGTGGGGACGTCCTATCTGACGAGAGTACGGATCTGTTTTTTGTATATGCTGCTAGCCCTTGCCAGCGCTGCTTGAGAGAGAGAGAGTTACTTTACGACTGGCGGTTTACCGCCAATCAGTTCGTCTTGGCGTCAGGCCCCATGAGGCCCACGACCAGAGATTTCCTTTTTTCCAACTGAACTCTTGCGGTAATAGTCTTTATGTAACATCCTCTCTGACGAGAAGATTGGTTTGTCTCTTATGAATACACTTGACATTTCGTCAAGTGTATATTTCGCACATATAACATGTTATCGAAAATTTGTCCTTTTGCACTGCACATACGTTCTCTGTCAGTAGAGGCTTTACAGAGCAGATCATGCCTAACTTACATATCTTATGCTACAACGAAAACTTAGTCATTTCAACGGTCGTAAGCTTTACCACCGCCAAGTTTAACCCTCTTACATTTTCTGTGTCTGGCTTCACCTTGTCCTATACCGCGAACATGTTCATTATCATGATTTTGTATGACTTCTGCTTGTCTTGTGCACCTTTTTGTTATATAATCGTATGCATACGGAAAGTTGAAAGCCGTGTGCAAGTCGCGGATTGATGTGCACATTGGAAAATTTCCAGTGGTGCGCAAACATTTGTTTTGCACGTGCTGCAATTTTAGGAGGTAATTATCTGCCGCTAATTCCCAGGCGGGACAAGCGTAAGTCATTACTGATCTGATCAGTGCTTTATAGAGGGTTAGTTTGATGTTTGCCCTTAAACGCTCACTTCTGAATGGGGAGTAGATTCTAATAAATGATCTGAATGCCTTGGCTTCAATCATTTCTATGTGAAGTCTCCACGTAATCTTCTTATCGAAGATTACGCCCAGGTATTTTATATGATTCAAAAGGGGATATTCTGCCCATTCAATGTAAGACGAATCTGAGGAGGTCTAAATCTATGAGAATAGTAGATTGCCTGAGTTTTATCTTCGTTGATTTTTATCTTCCAGCGCTCACACAAAGTCTCAATAGCACTGAGACCTCGCTGCAGCTTTCTGAGAACATAACCCTCTTTGCGGTCTGTCGCATATATACAGGTGTCGTCAGCAAAGAGACCTAGATAGATACCAGGTGTTTGGGGCGTATCGTTTATATATAGACTGTACAGTGTGGGGGAGAGAACAGAACCTTGTGGCAATCCTGCTTGTATTTCCCTTGGTGTAGACATTTAACCTTCGACTGACACTCTGAATTTTCTCTGAGAAAGGAAAGAGCTAATAAGCTTGATTAGACTTATCGAAAATTGTAATGTAGATAATTTATATAGCAAGCCAGTGTGCTATGTTTTTTCGAAGGCTTTTTCAATATCCAAGAATACAGCAGCCGTAGACATGTTATTATTGAAATTTAAGGTGACGTGGTCCGTAAGCCTCATATATTGAAGTGTCGTGCTATGACGGGCATGGAAACCAAACTGGCTTGCATTAATCAGGCCTTTTTCTTCAATGTACCTTTGGATTGTTTTCAGAATAACTTTTTCGAATACCTTGCCTGTTGTAGACAAGAGGCTAATCGGGCGTAAATTTTGAGAAACTTTGAGTCCTTACCGGATCTCGGTAACGCTATAACCTTTGCTTCCTTCCAAGGCTTCGGAAAATGGGACAGCCGAAGGCAATGATTAAATAAATGTGTCAGATGTAGCAGTGGTCTTCTTGGAAGGTGCCTAAGGCATTCGTTTCGAATACCATCAAGTCCACAAGCCTTTCGCAATTTTAATGTATTTGTTAATTTATGTATGTCACAAGGTCGTACTTTCCCCAACGGAGTGCCTCCTACAGATTCAAGCAGAGCTTGGACTGTAGTCTCCACCTGTCGCACATGGGTTTCCTCACACAGGTCATGAGATGTGAACTGGTTTCCTAAATAATCCGCTATCATGTTGGCTTTCTCATCAGGGTGATATGTTATTCCTAAAGGTTCATGAACAGCGGTTGGTGCCTTTGGTCCATCCCTTTTCATAAGCTATTTCGCAATAGGCCACAGAGCTTGAGGTGTGACCTCACAGTTCACTAATTTTGTTTCCCACCGTTCTAGTGCTTTTCTACGGGTCATTCGTCTGATGGTTTTGGCGACCCAATTGAGTGCCGTTTTACATGCTTCAGCAGAAAATGGACGCTAGCCTCCATCTGCCTTCTGTGTATGTAAATGCAGACATCACACAGTGTAAATTTCTGATGTGAACAGAATTTCAGCTTTGATACTAGTAACGTTTCTAGAGTTACATGAATTTACTTTCTGCTATAACAGTTGACTAAGCAGATACGCTTGCCATGGTAATTTCTGTGAAATATTACGCTGAAATGTCATTTACGGCTTCAGTCCTTTGTACCCTTGTACAATAATAACTTTTTCAACATTAAAAGACCCCTAAGGATATCCGTCCTGTCACTATACAGCAGAGTTGTTAAAGAGTTACGGACTGGACCTCCAGGTGACAGTGACAAACTCAAGCCTCAGTTGGCAGTGCAGCCGCGACTTTTGCAGAAACAGATTTCCATTTTTTATAGCACGCACCTGGTTCCTTCACTATCAGTACCACAGCAAATTTGAACCTCGATAATCCGAACCAATTAAAGTGCTCGAGTCTTCGGACTACAGGATTTCTGGCAGAAGAATTTGAATTCATTTTGCAATATTGTTCATACGAAAGATTCCTACATACATTTCATATACAGACAACCAAAATTTTACAAATATTATGCTTTCTTAATGTATTCATCAGTCATTAACCGGGCTATATATTTACCACCTGGAGACACAGGCCCGTCAACACGTAATGTTTCACAACGACCCATTTTTATTGCAGAGAAGTAGAACAATCAGATAAAATCTGTAATTTAGTTGAGGTGTTGACTATTTGTACTCTTAAGTTAGCTTGGATTACTCGGAGCTCGGACTTAATGAACAAGGAAACAAAACTTTTTAAGAAAGACTAAAAGTTATAGCGACGAATTAAAATTTTCTCATGTAATTAAGAGAATGAAATATGAACGGTGATTTCAGCCGCTTCCAACATATCCACAGCATCTTGCACACTGCTATAACAGCCACGGGTAGCGTACATATTTAAAAGAGAATGGAGTGAATTTCTGACCATGCTAGTATTTTGGCGTTTTGTAATTGTTGCCCAATTGGAAACAGGAAATGGAAGAAGCCGAAAATTTATATTACATATTGTAACGGATTTGATTAAGGCGTTGCCAGGCAAGAGCTCTGTAAACACGGTCCACCACACAACAATAGAAGAAGCTGTGTTTTCTGTGTCCGCGGTGACGGCACGCAGCGGTGGGTCGTGGTCGCGTGACATGTGTTTCCTGTGGTGGTTGTCCGTTCCTGGGCTATATAAGTGATAGAATTCATTCGGTTCAGAGACGAGTCAGTTCTCGGTAGGAGATAGTCACGGGAAGTTTGTAGTTGAAGAAGAGTACAAGAAGCCGGTCTGTGAAGATTTAACGTGTAATTTGAAGTCTTTGAGTGTGCTGTAGCAAAGTGCTATTGGGAGTGTGTGATTTAGTGAGACTTTTGTAGTTCCTGTGTTCTAAATCCGTGATAACTGCTACTGAGAAAATTGGTGTGGAGTGATTGTTAATTATGTAGATCTGCAATAGTGTTATAATTATTTGTAGTTACGACCTGCAAGTATCCAATAAATCAAATTACCAGTCAAAAACCTCTTCTTAGTCACTGTGACGCGTGACAGTATATATGTATGTTTTATATTACAAAACATTTGAAGTCTCAGGTTATATTCACGGATTTATTTTATTTGTGTGTGCTTCAGCATAAGAGACATTTTTTCTGTTTCTACTTGAATTCTAGAAAACTATCCGCTGAAATCAACGGTAAGTTAAAATATGAATAAGGTAATAATATATGTTATAAGCCACCTGATTTTAAAGAAGTTATTCCTTGTTAGAAGAAAAACAAATATACCTTAGACTGGAATTAATTTGAAGAAGCCATAAAGAATAGGGAATCATTTTAATAAAAGCCACGTTATTAATATATATGTAGGTTATAAAACCCTTTCCGTTAAAAGACAACTTATGGACATTGCATGACTAACAAACGAAATGCCAGGAAAGGTAATAAAAATTAACAGGATAATATAAGAATGGAATTTGGTATAGAAAGAAAGAAAAACCCGTTTAAATCAAAGGATAACCGAAAACACGGGAATCTCCATTGTCAAAGACTACTGGATTCCTGTAATTCCTTAATGGAAAGAAAAGTTATATCGCTTGTCCGTGAATTCCTATACAACATATATTCATACGACATGTTAACTTTCGATTATGTGTTGTTACCGCGACCCCAGTTACTGTGATTTCAGATCTTACACGGATGGTTACAAATTTTTTTGATAAAGACAGAGAAATAAATGAACTACTTAGATGGAAAAGAGTGAAGCAGGCTAATTCATGTTTTTAACTACAAAGAGGTTAAACACATGGCTTGAATCAATGCACGCATTTCAGTCTGTTATTGCTGCAAAATAATTTTAAGTAATAAGATTTTAAGCTGCTAGGAACTGTTTTGCAAAGTATACTCTCTGGGTATTCTGCGTACAGTGAAAGAATAAATTAGGGCATTATATTTAATGAAAACGTGCCATTATTCTATGAAAGAACAGTCGTTACTAGATATACCACATGTTTTAATATTAAAGATCTTTCCAGAGAGTGATTCATGATTCTCAGAATAAAGAGGAATTGTTTATCTAAACATCATTAATTGGTTTGTATTTGTAATAAAGACGCAGTGTGTTTTATGTCAGATAGGACCTGAAATTGTAATGACTTTCCGGCTTCAGAGATCTCAGATTTGCTTTTCTAACTTCGGAATATGATTCGCTTCGCAGTGCTAAAAGTCCGCAAGTTCAAATGTCCTGCATCCCACTCATTACTTTTCATGTTATTAATGTTTTATTTAGAACTCCAGTGATTGGACCCCATGCGTCACCGAGCTATATAACTTCACGTCATGTTTCCTGTTCAGTATGGAAAACCAGCATACTACTGGGTTTGGTTCCCGCATGCCAACAGAGGAATGTCCCGCCGCCATTATTCTAATGTGCGTGCAAGGCATTGTGGGAGTCGTACTACAGAGCATCCTGGTGAGTAGCTGTGCAAGGAATTCCTGTCTTAATTACAAACTGAGTTTTAGAGGTAACAGTAATGATATTTAAGTGTGTTCATGTTTGTGCGAGTTTGTACTTTTATCTGTTTTCTGGGTGTGTGTCTGTATGTTTGAAGGTGTTCATATTCGTGCGAAAGTTTGAGCATGTTTGAGATTTTTGTGTGTATTGTTTCTGTGTAACTATATGCATCTGGGTTGGCTTTTGTGTTGTGTGTTTCTGTGTCTGTATGGTTTATGTATATCTTCCACTTTCCTTGTGTCCGTGTGATTCTGTTTCTGTGTCTGTTTTCTCTTTCCAATTTCTTACATTTTATTACGTTTGTGTTTTTTGTTTGTGTATCTCAGTGGGCCCTTGATGTGTATCTGTGTGTTACTGAGTGTCTGTCTGTTAGGACTGCAGGAATAAAATCTTGCACTTATGTTCAGGTTCTTAAATTTGAGTATTTAATTAATAATTCACAGATGACTAATACAATTTACTTCACTGACAATTCAAGTAGTGATGATGGAATCATATGATTTCGATTGAAGAGACTGCAGAATCAGGGAAAATGCTTGAAAATAATCCTGGAAAAATGATAAAATAAAAATTCGAAAACTTTGCAAATAAAACGAAAACATTTGGTTAATGTACAGAAGTGAAATAGATGAATGTTCGAAGCATGAATACAGATTTCTGTTATACTCAGAAACTGTTGTATTACCATAGAAAATGTTTTATCTAAACACAGATTATATTAAAGACAGGAAATTGCAGTCTTGGGAGAATAATATTTTATTAACAAGAAATCAGCAGAAAATATGAATGCACATGAATAATTTAGTGCAGAAGAAGACATATTCTCTAAAAATAATTCTTATTTTAGAAAATAAACTAGAAAATAAATTACTATTGCCTCTTTCAGCATAGGAGAGCATGGTACATCTCTCAATTAAAGCAGTACCAAAAACCATAAGATGATAAATATACTTATTTTGTAACCAGTGCGGCAAGCTGTAGCGTAGTTGTTTGAGGGGCTATGCTATAAGCAGAAAGATTGCGGGTTCAAGTCCCGATGAGGTCATTGGATTTTTTTCAATTGACCTGATCCTTCCAGCCGCACTATGGCCCTGGGTTCGATTCAGCCTCTAACAGAAATGAGTACCAGGAATTAATTAAATAATTTTCCTGGGGAGTAAAGCGCGACCGGCGTGTAAGGCTGACAAACTTTCCGCCATCTTTGATCCGATTGTCTAGCTAGATAATGTGGGACACTCGACTTTACTTTTACAGTACACTAGATGGTGGGCGAGACCTCATTTGTTGCCCTCTCACACAAAAAAATAGTACCCAAAATTTATGAAGTCATTGACTCATCAAAAGATTTCACCAAGTCTTCTGATAACGGGCAACAAATGTGTTCTCGAAATCTTTAATGTTAGGTGATATCGTATTAATTGGACACAAGCTTTTCATAAGGAATAATGTAATTGAGAAATCGCGGAGAAATCCTATAAAACCCAAAAAAAAAAAAAAAGAAATATTATTTGAAAGAAATCCTCCTTTCCGAACCAGGTTAAACTGTATTAGTGCCTGTAGGGGAAGGTTGAACGTCAAAAATCCCCAGATTTTGATCAAATTCCAGCAGAACTGATCCAGTGAGAAGGCAAAACATTACGATCTGAGATCTACACGCTCATCAGTTCTAATTTGAGTAAGGGAGAATTGCCTGATCAGTGAAAAGAGTATATTATTTACAAGAGGTGTGTTAAAACTGACTATAATAATGAGTATTATCCAAGAATATCATTGTTATGAACTCATACAAAAATTTATCATTCTTCCTCTTATCCTTCTCTCAAAGTTAAGTCCATATATAGATTAAATTACTTGGTGGTGTCATTGGGACGGTTGCACCTCTTAGGGAAGATGATGTTCCGACTGATATTCGAACCGATCAACTCCAAACTACAGGTCTACAGCGTTACCTCTACATGAACTAGCTTGGTGGTGCAACTCTAATTTGAGTCTACTTGAAACTGTGTATATTGGGTATCGAGTACTTATTATGTAAATTATTTACATAATGTATGCACATATATATCAAACAGGTTGGTCTAGTTTTCCTGAAGATGGTAAGGCCGAAGCAGAGAACTCGTACCCTGGAGTTCAGTCACAACGCTGTGATATGTCGTCGTGAGGGCAAACTGTGCTTCATGTTTCGAGTTGGAGACCTCCGCCGCTCGCACATCATTGAGGCAAAGATGCGAGTGCTGTTTGTGCACACTTGGACTACTCGGGAGGGAGAGGTTATGTCCCCTTACCGTACTGAACTCAAGGTACAGACTTATTGGAAACATTAGCATTAGGAAGTGCATACCAGTAGTTTAAAAGCTGTACACTAGGAAACATCACACTTGAACGTTGTCAGGAAATAGGTAAATCTTGTCCTCATCAACCAATTCTATTCAATTTGACGTTAACACAACCACTGCCCGTGCCGACATCTGACGTGTTGAAGCTGACTTGCCTACCGCAAACCGGGCATTCAGTATGTAAGTGTAATTCTCTCCTATAGGTGTCAGTCGAATGCACGTTAGCTTCAGGTGTTGTTTGAGATACTCGATACTTGTAGCGACTGTCGATTTGTTTATCGGTTATTCGTTTCAAATGTAGCAAGTTAAAAATCTAGTTTTCGTGGAAGAGCAGCTGGCCCGGCAGATGAAAACATAGTACAGTTGAATGGTAGTTAATATGTTAACATTGTTCTCCATTCTATGATTTATTTCTAATTCTTACGTACTCGTTAGCTCTGGAGTCTCCTACGAAACTTGGTCCCTGTTACATCAGTTCTGGAGGCAATGCTGGCACATAGAGCCAATGCAGAGACATGAAAGATGACACTGAACTGCCACTCATTGGTTATTAAGGAACTGGTGTGACATTTGCCATTTATTCCGTAAATTACATGTCTGATAAGCTGGGATAGCGCAGTCGGTATAGCGACAGGCTACGGTCTGTACGATCGAGGAGTCGGACTTCGAGTCCCAGTAGGGGCAGGATTTTTCTTCTCTGGAACTGGTACTGGGGTGCTCTCCCCGGGGGTAAAGCGGCGGGGGCGTGAAGGTAAAAACTCACCTCGAACTATTGCCAAGGTCAAGAAAGCGTGGTTCTATATATACGTCTTCATGGGGTAGTGTTTAATTAGTTAAGCACAAAAATAACTTTACCTTTTACATGTGCGATAAGTCACAGACATGCATTTTATGTAAACACAGGTGGAAGACACGTCAGATGTGAAATCCAATTTCTTCTGTCTTCTTTGGCCTGAAACTGTGGTCCACTGTATTGACAGAGCCAGCCCACTTCATGAACTCTCTGCCGATGACCTTCAAGACGCCAATTTTGAAATTATTGTTATAATGGAGGGTACAATAGAATCTACTGACCAAAGGGTCCAGGCAAGAACTTCATATCTGCCAGCAGAGATTTTGTGGGGACACAGATTTGAACCCGTGGTAAGTTATGACAAGAGCCAAGGCCGTTATGAGGTGGATTACAGCCGTTTTCACTGCACCCAGCCAGTGGAGACACCTCGCTCAAGCGCACGAGACCAGTATGGTGATAACAGAGAAGAGGAATGTTACAAGCAGCGACGTCATGTTGAGAATGTAACGTGATAAGCTGCATTCATTGCAGGGACGAGGACGCGTCGTCGCTTACTGACGTCGAACATTATGTTATCATTAGAAATTTACTTCCTACAAATTTAAACGTATTTCCGGTATTTATATGCCGGTGGGGAAATCATACACACACAGGAACTTCCGTAAAATTGCCTATGCATTATTCTGAACACAAGTACGTATGTGAGGCATCAAACGTGGTAGGTGGACAGTAAATACAAAATGTTAGGCCGTGTCATACCTCAGGCGGTTAGTCGTCGGCTTCCCGCCTTGGCGGCCCAGGTTCGAGCTCGGGTCACGTAGGATTTGTGGTGGACAAATTGGCACTGGGCCAAGTTTACTCTGAGTACTTTGGTTTCTCCTGCCAAGTCTCATTCCACCTATTGCTCCACATTCATCATCATCTAGCATGTGGGGCTGGTACTATAAGGCAAACAGTGGCCGACGTACCAAGTGGACTCAGCCTCACCCCAACCCAAGAAACTGAAAAAAGTTACTGTTTTCTTATTTGGGTTTATTGCATCAGCAGCTCAGGTATGGGTGCTGTCAAAATTTTCCCGAGGGGAGAGTCAGGAAATATGCTGACAACTTACGTTTAAGGTTGTTTTGGATAAGTGGTGGGCCTTGACAGGTCCTAGCATCACGATCATCAGTGATCTATTGTGCATTTCAGATTGTTTCACTCTAATATTGTATTTCAGCGTCATAGTGTGTGTCAACAACTGATTAGTGGCACTATCATCGCAATTCGTGTATAAACTCTGTAGGTTATTTTACATGTTTCGGCTTTTATGGACAATGATCAGGTAAAATATTTACACTCAATCTCTACTCTTTGGTATTTTCCCCTACATTGAACAATGTTTACATTTGGGGGAACAAGTGGAACACGTAATCTAAAAACCAACACAAGGTAAGAAATTATTGTCACGTGTAATAGGTGTGCGTGACTTATAGACGGGTTTTGGACTGGATGATTGGATTTATTGACACCTTATTCACACAACTCGGGACTACAGGAAATACAGCGCTACCTTACAGTTCACAGTTACACACGCACTAGGTTTCTCAGTCTTCATTAGTCATAACATGACAACGGATGTATAACAGTCTCACTATCACTTCAAATCAAACATGAAGTCTTCTTTACAAAGCTTAATTACTTTTTTGCCACCATTCTGCAACTCTCAATTCCGAAGATTCAACTTCATTCAGTTCATATGCTCCCAAATTCATATCCTGAAGGCTGGCGTCTCGAAACACAACTAACTCTTCCCAACATAACTCTTCTTTATAACCACTTTGCACGAACCATACAGAAAACACATCTACTCTATTGTTTGGAAGGCGTGTTTACAGAGCTGTTTCGTAACAACAGAAGTTATTCACTAGTTGCTTGCTATTTCGTTGCATAAGAAATATGTTTACCGAGCCGTTGACTAGAAATGAATGTCTATTCTGACTACGCTATTCTGGTTTTCGGGCGTCATGTCACAATATATATATACCCCCCTTACACATAACCACGACGTATACTGACTAAAAATAATTCAATGTTTCAGACCACGCAAAAGAAGATAGCTTATTTTATTAACAAACTACAAAAAAATAAAACATTCAGTATTTTAATATTTCATAATGTAGTTTTTTATGTTGGAATTGAAGAGAAGGCACTTCTACAGTGACCCTGAAATCAGTATTATTTAATAACACCGAACTCCAGCAAATGAAACATTTGAAAACCTGTCATATAGTTTTATACATTGGCATTAACACTGGCAAATAACGCGTATGACTCACCATATGTAAACATTAGCCAATGTATGGGAGAACAGCAAGTAAGTAGAGAGTGGATGAAAATAATTTACCTGATGATGGACATAAATAGCCGAAACATGAAAAGAATAATATATTGTAACATGATAGAGTCACTATAGAAGGGTTCTGATTGGTAATTGGATTTATTGAACTCCTACGGATCCATGACTACAAGTAATTATAACCGTTTCACTAATTCACATATTTTACGGTTCACTAGTACAAAAGCTTAAGTTTTTTTCAGTCTGTTGTGTCTTCATCAGTGTTCTGGTAACGGCTTGCAACGGCGAACGTTCTTCTTCTCCTACGTTCCCGAATTGTACCAATGCCACAGCTACTAGCTGCTCTCGACTGACTGACTGACTTTAGGCTTGTCCTGTTTATAACATCTTGACACGAATCGCGTAGAAAACACCGCTTCCCAGTATCGTTGTATCAAATTATTGCTGTGGAAATATGCTTGTTTGTAGAGTCGTAATGTTGTACGTGTATATTTGCTTATTTCGCGGTCTTTGTGCAGCAACAGGTTTACATACCAACATATAAATTGTATACACGAATTGTGGCATAGAAAGATAATTGAAAACAGATACACGCTTAAGTTTTGATATTAATATTTTGTGTTTTCTTTATTTCTCCAGTTATTTTTAAAAAAAAATCCAGATCACAGCATGTGCATGTCTCATCCTTCCTGACAACGCCCTCTGAACTCAGGCTGTATGTTTTGCCTGAGGTAAGAGGAACAGTTTGTACCAGAAATGAAAACATCAGCTCCATATGTTGCTACCTTCCTACTTCCATTTAAGAGACTGATAATGATGATAATAATAATAAAATTTCAATTCTTTATTATTTACATGCCGAGTCAACATCTACAAGGCCAATTACAGATACAGCACAGTTTAGAAACAAGTAGTTACATGTAAGATTTGAGGTTTTCACGGTTGTGACTATGAAGAAAGCAGTTTTCTGGGATTTGGCACCGTGTATATGTGGTGTTAACCGACGCTTCGGAGGAACGTCGGTTAACACCACATATACACGGTGCCAAATCCCAGAAGACTGCTTTCTTTAAGTAGTTACATACTGGACAAACACAACATACAAAGATTAATTAAAGGTAAGCAGTGGAGGAAAAATATATTAATGCCAAGAGGTAAGCAAACAAACACAAAATAAGAATAATTATAATTTCATTAACACGAATCTAAGTTGCCATTGAGAACTGAGAAATATAAATTATAAATATTCAGAAAGAATAATAGTAATAATTCAATTCATTATTATTTATGTGCCGAGCTAACAGCCACAAGGCCAAATACAGACGCAGCACAGTGTAGATAAAAGTAATTACATATGGATAAACACGATATAAAGTCAAAGACTAATTAAAGGTAAGCACTGGGGGAAAAAGACATTAATCCAGAGAAAGAAACAAACAAACAAACAAACGAAGTAATAATAATAATAATAATAAAATTAAATTCTATTTTATGTACGTGCAAAAAAATAATAATAACTATTGTAGCATGTTAAAAAACGATTGAGGAGAACGTTCCTGGCTCCCATTGCGTCAGTAGCCCTGCAGACAACATTAGCAGCTGCTCCGCAACTATCAGAGGGACAATTATTACATGAAGAGTAGACATTAAACAATGTAAAGTCTCTGATATACCGAGCAGGAACTCGGAGACCAACGATTTCTAGAACAGAAGGGCAGAATTTCAAACCAGAGTAAACCTGAGTAAGAAAGAGAGCATCGAGGCGATGTCTTCTAGTACGTAAAGTATATAATGCTAACTCCTCAAGGACAAGAGAATAAAAGTAGTGGACTTGAGGTAAGAGACCATTAAAACAGAGGGTCGCAAACCTCTGCTGGATGCGTTCCAGCTTGTTGGCATCAGCTGACGTAATTCAATTGGTAACTACGGACGTATGTTCAAGTTTAGACCTAACTAATGCGAGTTACCAAGGGTCTCCAAACTACGATCCGCGATGTGATTTTATCCTGCCCGCGAAAGAATTGTGCAGAAATGCGCCAATTGAACTAATTTTCCGAGTACTGAAAAAAAATACTTGTTCATAGATTTCAACTGGTGTTTGTTGTACCTCTCAACTATTAGTATTTTTTCGTGGCGTCGACATTGAACTTAATGTCACACAGGAATTAGCTTCACTGGTACTACAACAGGAGATGATGTCTTCAAAGAAATACAAAAAACACTAACAGAATATAATTTTGACTGGAGCCGTCTGCAGTGCGTGACAGTTGATGGAGGAAAAAACATGTCTGGTATAAAAATATGTTTGGTTGGCCAAATCACAAAAGCTTGTGAGCATGCAGGAATATCAAAGCCAATGTTTCTTCACTGTGTTATCCACCAACAAGCACTCTGTGCAAAACTCGTTGATTTGAGCTCTGTTTTAAAACCTGTTATTTCTATCGTTAATTTCATTCTCTGTCATGCACTTAACCATCGCTAGTTTCGTTCTTTTCTCGAGGAATGTGATTCCGAGCTTATTGACTCGACATATTATACTGCAGTTCGATGGCTTAGCTGTGGAAAGGGTCCTTCGCGCTTCGTTCAGCTCAGGAATGAAATTGATATATTTCTTACCGAGAAAAACCATCACGAACCACTTTTATCAGATACCGAGTGGCTTTGGAAATTAGCATTTTTTCTGATCTGGTGAACCATATGAACAATTTGAATTTAAATTTGCAGGGTGAAAATAACTTAGTCTGTGATTTATTTGAACTTATCAAGGCATTCAGAGCAAAGTTGATACTTCTGGAAAGCCAAATAAAAAATTGTAACTTTGTTCATATGCTATACTGTGCAGAGTTGCATAAAAAGGGTGAAGCAGAATTTCCTTCCTCGTTTGCAAATTTAGTCATTTTAGATTTGAAAGAACAATTTCGGAAGCGATTCGCTGATTTGGATGCAGTGTTGAGGAAATTAGATTGTTGCAAAATCCGTTTGGCTGTGATGCTGCAGATGTCCCAAGTCAAATTCAAATGGAAGTTATTGAATTTCAGGAAAATTATCATATATTAAAGACAAACGCAGGAAACGAAATTTGATCGAATTTTATAAATTTCTGAACTCTGAGCAATTTCCAAATTTAAAGAAATTTGCTTGTAAATTTATCTCCATTTTTGGGACGACATATCTGTGTGAACAAACTTTTATCAGATGAAGTACACCAAGTCAAAATACTCGTATAGGGCAAATTTATCCGATGAACTTTTAAAGTCACTACTTGTGATTAGCGTTTCAAACTTTGAACCTCAATTTTATCAGATTTTAAGAATGCAAAAAGGTTCTATCATTCACATTAATTGTTTTATTATAATTTGTGATGAAAATATGAGCATATGCTACTGTCTGTTGTCATTAATATACAATAATTTATTCTCACGTACTTTGTATTTAGTTTATGAAATTCTGTACTTTCAATAAAACTCATATACCTAGAGTTATTAATTTCT